TCGAACTCATATGGAAGTGTTTTAAGCTTCTCAGTGCTGTGCTTTAACCCACTGCGCCACCAGGGAGGGCCGATTTTTTTTTATTTAAAGATTTATTTATTTATGTATACAAGAACTGGGGTACGGCCCAGAGGTGCAGGGGTAAGGGACTTCACCAAGACAGAGTGGGGAGCAGAACAGGCCGACTGACTGAAATCCACTGCTGAGGGGAGCAGCAGGCAAGACAGGAGAGGAGAGGTCTGCTGAGCCATGTGGGTCAGCTCTCTGGCTGGGGATGGAACTCATGCTGCAGTGTTGTGGACAGCTTCATAGTCTTGTACTTTAACCCCTTGCACCACTAGGGAGGGCCCAGCACCCTGATGTTTAATGGAAGATTGGGAACTAGGGAGAGCTGGAGCAACCACTGTAGAAATTGGGGCATATATAGAACCCATGTGCATTCTGGATCATTTCTGCAGTTCTCTTTTGGTACGTATGTAACATAAGCCTTTCCCTACAGCTCTTGACACATCTTCTATGGAATTGGACTATGCATGCGCTTTGTCTCCCATACTATGTAAAGTTTCCCAAGTCAAGTTCTCTTTCTTTGTCATTGCTGAAATTATTGAGGCTTCGCTCAGTGTTTGTTACCTAGATTGAAAAGTTAAAAAATTAACATGGAGCTCTTCAAGACATCTACATAATTTCAGAAATAAGCAATATTTGTAATTGCATTTACTAACTTAAACTTCTAACATTATATAATACACTATATTCTTATTTAAGTTTTGATGCCCTCAAAGTGGTATCTCTGATTTCTTTAAATTTTTATTGAAGTAGCACTGGCAAATAACATCATATAGGATCCAGACGTATACACCAGTAAAATTCAAATTCATTGAGTATGTATACACTATATTATGATCACCACCAAAAACCTAATTTCCACTTTTCACCATCCAATTAAACACTTTTACCTGATTACCTATACCCCACACTATATTTTAAAGAGGCCCCAGATTTTTGTGTTCCTATTGATGAATTTTTCAGAACCTGAGAACCCTGAAATTGAGTTAAATTTGTTTAAATTGGAAAATACAACATACAAGTATCTGTTGGTTTCTTGGCTTATGAGAACAAATTCTGAGTGATAATACATTCTTTCAGTCTTTCTGTTTGGAATTGTATTTAGAATCATTTTGACATGATAGAGGAATATTTTATATGTTGTGGGCTAATGTGAAAAAAGAAGTGAATTTGATACAATAAAGGATGCACTCACAACAGGTGTAGGCCAACTGAAATCGTGGTAATATCATGAACAAAGAAACTTTTAAAATAGTCTCAGTAGAGACAAGTGAAGGGAAAATTGAATCATTACTTGTCTTCAGTGAGTGCAGATATTTGCAACATAAATAAGATGCACTCTATCTGCTAGTACCTACCACATTTCTTGTGAGTGATAATTTAGTTTCAGAAAAAAATCCCATTTACTTTAGAAGGGAAGTATCAGGACTTTTGTAAACTTTACTGGTTTTGTTGCTTTAGAGAAAATTCATGAATTTTCTTGTACTTTATAACTGAATAAGAGCTTGTAAATAAGCTAACTGTATTTGTATATATTTAAGCAAAACTTGTAAGAAAATAATTTAACCCAATCTTGGCAGAATTTATCTCTTTCTTTAACAGATTTTTTTTAAAATGCCATGTTTGAATAATCAAATAGGATGTGTGGGAGCCAAGTTATGACATTACCTTAATTTTTTTGAATAATAATATTGTCAAAACTTTTCAAATAGGAAATAACTTATTTTCAAATATTAATGTCACTGTGAATCAAGGAAAACACGAGCATACTATTGTTCCGGGAATCCCAACTGTTCTTTTCAACTTAAATCTTCAACTACTGAAAATCTGTCTTTGCTCAGAGTTAGCAGTTCCCCCCAG